AGTAACACAGTTACAGCCTTGATGAGCAAGTAACACAGTTACAGCCTTGATGAGCAAGTAACACAGTTACAGTCTTGATGAGCAAGTAACACAGTTACAGTCTTGATGAGCAAGTAACACAGTTACAGTCTTGATGAGCAAGTAACGCAGTTACAGTCTTGATGAGCAAGTAACACAGTTACAGCCTTGATGAGCAAGTAACACAGTTACAGCCTTGATGAGCAAGTAACACAGTTACAGTCTTGATGAGCAAGTAACACAGTTACAGTCTTGATGAGCAAGTAACACAGTTACAGTCTTGATGAGCAAGTAACACAGTTATAGTCTTGATGAGCAAGTAACACAGTTACAGTCTTGATGAGCAAGTAACACAGTTACAGTCTTGATGAGCTAGTAACGCAGTTACAGCCTTGATGAGCAAGTAACACAGTTACAGCCTTGATGAGCTAGTAACACAGTTACAGCCTTGATGAGCTAGTAACACAGTTACAGTCTTGATGAGCTAGTAACGTAGTTACAGCCTTGATGAGCAAGTAACACAGTTACAGTCTTGATGAGCTAGTAACGTAGTTACAGCCTTAATTGATGAAACCTCAAATTAGAAACTATTCTTTTCTAGAATAGTTAAATATATACATTTCAGAGTTGAAAAAATGTAACATTTCGCAGTATTGAAATGCTGAAATTGTCTCACCTGATTGTTGCGTTGAGTTGTCATATACTGAGCCTTAAGTCTTAAGGCATAATAAGCAGTTCTCCCACTACAAACACCTGTAGAAAATGTTCAACTGTGAAGATCAATCTATCTTTATATCTATCTTTTATTTGCATTCCCTCCAGAGGTCGGCCATGGCGAAGATGGCCCGAGTCAAGCTGTGTCAAGCTCCCAGACAGCCTGATTAAATATGATTATCAATTGTGTTGACCAGACCACACACTAGAAGGTGAAGAGACGACGGCGTTTCGGTCCGTCCTGGACCATTCTCAAGTTGATGAGAATTTACAAGTCGTCAAGATTTACAATCTAAATCTAAAAATGTTTGACACCAGCAATATTATCTGGTGCGTCTAACATTACAATCACAGAGAAATTGGTAACGAATCAAGTATATTAATGGAATATACTTAACATTGATATATTACAGTATATTTGTGTGCTAACTCATCAATAGTCAAGTTCACGGTCAATATTAGCCATCAGATTAGAATTAGATGACTTAGAATTAGCTCACATGTGGCAATAAGTGTTGCTATGACAACACTTTATTATGAAGAATTATCTATTCAATTAAGTTATTAGTAAATACGAACGTGGTTTAAACCAGAGCAATAGAATCAATACACATAGAAATAATATTAAGAAAACAGGAATCCTGATTAGGGTTCGAACCTATTCGCTGGGTTGAGTCCAAGTGTATGGAGGAATTCTGTGAAATCCCATTTAGGCTTTAGTAGAAGCCAAAATTGTTAGATAGTTGTTACAATGTGTTACAACTTGTCCAAACGTTGTATCAATGTGGTAGTTTGGTCAGGTGGTTGCCAGGTTACAAGTGTTAATGACTGAATTGACAATTGGTCCAGGAACGCCCTCCCTACACTGTTGGTCCCGCGACGGTGAGACGAGGCCACAGGTCACAGTAACTCGCCTCTATAACACACCCACATACTGGCTATTATCAATGAACAAGTCTCCAGCTAAAGTTAGTGAGTTGTTGAATTACTTTCATGAGCAAGAGTCTTCTGGCCGCTCTTGGGCCCTTGGTTTCCACTATGAGTTATAACCCAACTAAATCATGAACTTGAGCGCAGTTTTATCTATAGAGACTGATGCCTCTACTAAAAGTTTTGATCAAATTAATCACAGAAGATCTGAGGGTGCTGATTATTTTATAAGAGAGGAGTGACTGTTGAGGTCTGATGATGGAGCCCCGGTGCCTGTAGAGGCCCTCAGTCTACAAGCGACCGGATAGAACCATCAGCTAGCCGGCTGCGTCGTAGAGTAAATGTCTATTCTGTCTATTATCAAGACTTCCCCGTCTATAGTAGTGTTCTCCCCTGGCCCGTCTGAGCCACCCTCGGACTGGTCAGTACTGACCTTTACCACAAGAGAGAGACAATGGGCCAGTACTAACTACTGAAGCATTAACATTGACAATACAATAATGTTTAGTTTATAAACTATTTTATTATGATGGAGGTGTTAGCAGACCTGACCAACTGTGTTCCCGCCCCGAGGGAGGAGCGGCGTTGGTCGCGTTACTTACCTATTAAATCAGTTCACCTAATGAACAAGTCCACAAGGGCCGTAACGAGGATTCGAACCTGCGTCCGAGAGCTTCCCAGACGCTGCCTTAATCATTTGATGCATCACGCAATTGTGATTTCTGTGGTAAATTGTTGATAAACAGAGAGTAATCGAATTGTGCTACATTCGTACGGAAGCGTTTTGGCCAATTATCACCTATAAGGCTACTGATTCACGGGTGAACAGAAAGTAAAAAATTGGTCAGACTGCGAACCACAAAATAGGGAAGGACAATTCCCATTTTATTATTTCAGAAGAGTGTGAAAAATTCTGTTTAGATCTTTAAATAAAATTGACAAAAATATGAGTGTGGGTTTTATCATATGTTATTAATGTGATACCTGATCTGTTATCTGGTGATCCCAGAGCGTACGGTGCAGGTGCACAGTACGCCTTGTACCTACATCACAGTAAGATCCTTATTTGTGATTAATTTATTACACCTCTATGAGGCCAGCGTGTAGTGACTACTGTGTACCATGATGGTAGTGACTACTGTGTACCATGATGGTAGTGACTACTGTGTACCATGATGGTAGTGACTACTGTGTACCATCATGGTAGTGACTACTGTGTACCATCATGGTAGGAACTACTGTGTACCATCATGGTAGGGACTACTGTCTACCATCATGGTAGGGACTACTGTGTACCATGATGGTAGTGACTACTGTGAACCATGATGGTAGTGACTACTGTGTACCATCATGGTAGTGACTACTGTGAACCATGATGGTAGTGACTACTGTGAACCATCATGGTAGTGACTACTGTGTACCATCATGGTAGTGACTACTGTGAACCATGATGGTAGTGACTACTGTGAACCATCATGGTAGGGACTACTGTGAACCATCATGGTAAGAACTACTGTGTACCATGATGGTAGGGACTACTGTGTGCCATCATGGTAGTGACTACTGTGCACCATCATGGTAGTGACTACTGTGTACCATCATGGTAGTGACTACTGTGAACCATCATGGTAGTGACTACTGTGAACCATCATGGTAGTGACTACTGTGAACCATCATGGTAGTGACTACTGTGAACCATCATGGTAGTGACTACTGTGAACCATCATGGTAGTGACTACTGTGAACCATCATGGTAGTGACTACTGTGTACCATGATGGTAGGGACTACTGTGTGCCATCATGGTAGTGACTACTGTGAACCATCATGGTAGGAACTACTGTGTACCATGATGGTAGTGACTACTGTGTGCCATCATGGTAGTGACTACTGTGCACCATCATGGTAGTGACTACTGTGTACCATGATGGTAGTGACTACTGTGCACCATCATGGTAGTGACTACTGTGTACCATGATGGTAGTGACTACTGTGTACCATGATGGTAGTGACTACTGTGCACCATCATGGTAGTGACTACTGTGTACCATCATGGTAGTGACTACTGTGTACCATGATGGTAGTGACTACTGTGTACCATGATGGTAGTGACTACTGTGTACCATGATGGTAGTGACTACTGTGTACCATGATGGTAGTGACTACTGTGTACCATGATGGTAGTGACTACTGTGTACCATGATGGTAGTGACTACTGTGTACCATGATGGTAGTGACTACTGTGTACCATCATGGTAGTGACTACTGTGTACCATGATGGTAGTGACTACTGTGTACCATCATGGTAGTGACTACTGTGTACCATGATGGTAGTGACTACTGTGTACCATGATGGTAGTGACTACTGTGTACCATGATGGTAGTGACTACTGTGTACCATGATGGTAGTGACTACTGTGTACCATGATGGTAGTGACTACTGTGTACCATGATGGTAGTGACTACTGTGTGCCATCATGGTAGTGACTACTGTGCACCATCATGGTAGTGACTACTGTGTACCATCATGGTAGTGACTACTGTGTACCATCATGGTAGTGACTACTGTGTACCATCATGGTAGTGACTACTGTGTACCATGATGGTAGTGACTACTGTGTACCATCATGGTAGTGACTACTGTGTACCATGATGGTAGTGACTACTGTGTGCCATCATGGTAGTGACTACTGTGTACCATCATGGTAGTGACTACTGTGTACCATGATGGTAGTGACTACTGTGTACCATCATGGTAGTGACTACTCTGCACCATGATGGTAGTTTTCTACTGTGTACCATGATGGTAGTGACTACTGTGCACCATCATGGTAGTGACTACTGTGCACCATCATGGTAGTGACTACTGTGCACCATCATGGTAGTGACTACTGTGCACCATGATGGTAGTGACTACTGTGCACCATGATGGTAGTGACTACTGTGTACCATCATGGTAGTGACTACTGTGCACCATCATGTGCAGGTCAATACACTGACCTGTGCAGGGATATTACAACCAGTTCTGGCACTGTGCCTGAGCAAGGATATTGACCAATCAGAGCGTGTTGACCACCAAGGAGCAGAGGAGCAGCCACGAAACAAACAAACAAACAAACAAACAAACAAAGAACCCCTCGGCCAGTTTTGACTCAGAGAGTAATTCAATATTTGATTTGTCTCTCGTATCACAATAAATAATCCGACCATCCGGATTACGGGTTGTATGAACGAGCGCTCACGAACGCTCAGCCGTGCGTGCCACTAATGACCCGCGCTCCTGTAATTGTCTGTAATCCCTTGTAATGTATCCCTGACTGTCTGAATTACCAGTGTCCCGTCACTCTCTCACGGCTCCCCCGCCAGTCTCACGCTTGTGGGGAGTTCCCCCGCCAGTCTCACGCTTGTGGAGAGTTCCCCCGCCAGTCTCACGCTTGGGGAGAGTTCCCCCGCCAGTCTCACGCTTGTGGGGAGTTCCCCCGCCAGTCTCACGCTTGGGGAGAGTTCCCCCGCCAGTCTCACGCTTGGGGAGAGTTCCCCCGCCAGTCTCACGCTTGTGGGGAGTTCCCCCGCCAGTCTCACGCTTGTGGGGAGTTCCCCCGCCAGTCTCACGCTTGTGGGGAGTTCCCCCGCCAGTCTCACGCTTGGGGAGAGTTCCCCCGCCAGTCTCACGCTTGGGGAGAGTTCCCCCGCCAGTCTCACGCTTGTGGGGAGTTCCCCCGCCAGTCTCACGCTTGTGGGGAGTTCCCCCGCCAGTCTCACGCTTGGGGAGAGTTCCCCCGCCAGTCTCACGCTTGTGGGGAGTTCCCCCGCCAGTCTCACGCTTGTGGGGAGTTCCCCCGCCAGTCTCACGCTTGGGGAGAGTTCCCCCGCCAGTCTCACGCTTGTGGAGAGTTCCCCCGCCAGTCTCACGCTTGTGGGGAGTTCCCCCGCCAGTCTCACGCTTGTGGGGAGTTCCCCCGCCAGTCTCACGCTTGTGGGGAGTTCCCCCGCCAGTCTCACGCTTGTGGGAAGTTCCCCCGCCAGTCTCACGCTTGTGGGAAGTTCCCCCGCCAGTCTCACGCTTGTGGGGAGTTCCCCCGCCAGTCTTACGCTTGTGGAGAGTTCCCCCGCCAGTCTCACGCTTGGGGAGAGTTCCCTCTGAGAGAGCCACCCCTGAGAGAGCCACCCCTGAGAGAGTCACCCCTAAAAGAGCCACCCCTGAGAGTGCCACCCCTGAGAGTGCCACCCCTGAGAGAGTCACCCCTGAGAGAGCCACCTCTGAGAGAGTCACCCCTGAGAGAGCCACCCCTGAGAGAGCCACCCCTGAGAGAGGCACCCCTGAAAGAGCCACCCCTGAGAGTGCCACCCCTGAGAGTGCCACCCCTGAGAGAGTCACCCCTGAGAGTGCCACCCCTGAGAGTGCCACCCCTGAGAGAGTCACCCCTGAGAGAGTCACCCCTGAGAGAGCCACCCCTGAGAGTGCCACCCCTGAGAGAGTCACCCCTGAGAGAGCCACCCCTGAGAGAGCCTACTCTGAGAGAGCCACCCCTGAGAGAGCAACCCCTGAGAGCCACCCCTGAGAGAGGCACCCCAGAAAGAGCCACCCCTGAGAGAGCCACCTCTGAGAGAGCCACCCCAGTGAGGCCACCCCTGAGAGAGCTACCCCCTGAGAGAGCCACCCCTGAGAGAGCCACCTCTGAGAGAGCCACCCCTGTGAGGCCACCCCTGAGAGAGCCACCCCCTGAGAGAGCCACCCCTGAGCGAACCACCCATGACAGAGCCACCCTTGAGAGAGCAACCCCTGAGAGAGCCACCCCTGAGAGAGGCACCCCTGAAAGAGGCACCCCTGAGAGAGCCATTCCTGAGAGAGCCACCCTTGAGAGAGCCACCCCCTGAGAGAGCCACCCCTGGGAGAGCCACCCCTGAGAGAGCCTACTCTGATAGAGCCACCCCTGAGAGAGCAACCCCTGAGAGCCACCCCTGAGAGAGGCACCCCAGAAAGAGCCACCCCTGAGAGAGCCACCTCTGAGAGAGCCACCCCTGTGAGGCCACCCTTGAGAGAGCCACCCCCTGAGAGAGCCACCCCCTGAGAGAGCCACCCCCTGAGAGAGTCATCCCCTGAGAGAGCCACCCATGAGAGAGTCACCCCCTGAGAGAGCCGCCCCTGAGAGAGTCACCCCTGTGAGAGCCACCCCTGAGAGAGTCACCCCCTGAGAGAGCCACCCCTGAGACAGCCACCCCTGAGAGAGCCACCCCTTTGAGAGCCACGCCTGAGAGAGCCACCCCTGAGAGAGCCACCTCCTGAGAGAGCCACCCCTGAGAGTGCCACCCCTGAGAGAGCCACCCTTGAGAGAGCCACCCCTGAGAGAGCCACCCCTGAGAGAGCCACCCCTGAGAGAGCCACCCCTGAGCGAACCACCCATGACAGAGCCACCCTTGAGAGAGCAACCCCTGAGAGAGCCACCCCTGAGAGAGCCACACCTGAGAGAGCCACCCATGACAGAGCCACCCTTGAGAGAGCCACCCTTGAGAGAGCCACCCCCTGAGAGAGCCACCCCTGGGAGAGCCACCCCTGAGAGAGCCTACTCTGAGAGAGCCACCCCTGAGAGAGCAACCCCTGAGAGCCACCCCTGAGAGAGGCACCCCTGAAAGAGGCACCCCTGAGAGAGCCATTCCTGAGAGAGCCACCCTTGAGAGAGCCACCCCCTGAGAGAGCCACCCCTGGGAGAGCCACCCCTGAGAGAGCCTACTCTGATAGAGCCACCCCTGAGAGAGCAACCCCTGAGAGCCACCCCTGAGAGAGGCACCCCTGAAAGAGCCACCCCTGAGAGAGCCACCTCTGAGAGAGCCACCCCAGTGAGGCCACCCCTGAGAGAGCCACCCCCTGAGAGAGCCACCCCTGAGAGAGCCACTCCTTTGAGAGCCACCCCTGAGAGAGCCACCCCTGAGAGAGCCAGGCCTGAGAGAGCCACCCCTGAGAAAGCCCACATGAGAGAGCCACCCTCTGAGAGAGCCACCCTTGAGAGCCACCCCCTGAGAGAGCCACCCCTGAGAGAGCCACCCTTGAGAGAGCCACTCCTGAGAGAGCCACCCCCTGAGAGAACCACCCTTGAGAGAGCCACCCCTGAGAGAGCCCCCCTGAGAGAGCTGCCCTTGAGAGAGCCACCCCCTGAGAGAGCCACCCTTGAGAGAGCCACCCCTGAGAGAGCCACCCCTGAGACAGTCACGACTGAGAGTGCCACCTCTGGGAGAGCCACCCCTGAGAGAGCTACCACTGAGAGTGCCACCCCTGAGAGAGCCACCCCTGAGAGAGCCACCCCTGAGAGAGCCACCCTTGAGAGAGCCACACTTGAGAGAGCCACCCCCTGAGAGAGCCACCCCCTGAGAGAGCCACCCCTGAGAGAGCCACCCCTGAGAGAGCCACCCCTGAGAGAGCCACCCCTGAGAGAGCCACCCCCTGAGAGGGCCACCCCCTGAGAGAGCCACCCCCTGATAAACATCACCCGCCAGAGAGAGCTGGTCAGTGGAGCGGTCCGTATCTAAATTGAATTTATAGCTTCCTGGTGGGACGTGTCCGGCCCGCGGTGTGTGAGGACGCTGCCGCTGCTGGCAACTGTGAGGACGCTGCTGGCAACTGTGAGGACGATGCTGGGAACTGTGAGGACGCTGCTGGCAACTGTGAGGACGCTGCTGGCAACTGTGAGGACGCTGCTGGGAACTGTGAGGACGCTGCTGGGAACTGTGAGGACGCTGCTGGCAACTGTGAGGACGCTGCTGGCAACTGTGAGGACGCTGCTGGCAACTGTGAGGACGCTGCTGGCAACTGTGAGGACGCTGCTGGCAACTGTGAGGACGCTGCTGGCAACTGTGAGGACGCTGCCGCTGCTGGCAACTGTGAGGACGCTGCTGGCAACTGTGAGGACGCTGCCGCTGCTGGGAACTGTGAGGACGCTGCTGGGAACTGTGAGGACGCTGCTGGGAACTGTGAGGACGCTGCCGCTGCTGGCAACTGTGAGGACGCTGCTGACAACTGTGAGGACGCTGCTGGGAACTGTGAGGACGCTGCTGGCAACTGTGAGGATGCTGCCGCTGCTGGGAACTGTGAGGACGCTGCTGGGAACTGTGAGGACGCTGCCGCTGCTGGCAACTGTGAGGACGCTGCTGGCAACTGTGAGGAAGCTGCTGGCAACTGTGAGGACGCTGCTGGCAACTGTGAGGACGCTGCTGGCAACTGTGAGGACGCTGCTGGCAACTGTGAGGACGCTGCTGGCAACTGTGAGGACGCTGCTGGCAACTGTGAGGACGCTGCTGGCAACTGTGAGGACGCTGCTGGCAACTGTGAGGACGCTGCTGGCAACTGTGAGGACGCTGCTGGCAACTGTGAGGACGCTGCTGGCAACTGTGAGGACGCTGCTGGCAACTGTGAGGACGCTGCTGGCAACTGTGAGGACGCTGCTGGCAACTGTGAGGACGCTGCTGGCAACTGTGAGGACGCTGCTGGCAACTGTGAGGACGCTGCTGGCAACTGTGAGGACGCTGCTGGGAACTGTGAGGACGCTGCTGGCAACTGTGAGGACGCTGCTGGGAACTGTGAGGACGCTGCTGGGAACTGTGAGGACGCTGCTGGGAACTGTGAGGACGCTGCTGGCAACTGTGAGGACGCTGCTGGCAACTGTGAGGAGGAGGACGCTCCTGGGAACTGTGAGGAAGTGGACGCTGCTGGGAACTGTGAGGACGCTGCTGGGAACTGTGAGGAAGTGGACGCTGCTGGGAACTGTGAGGAAGTGGACGCTGCTGGGAACTGTGAGGAAGTGGACGCTGCTGGCAACTGTGAGGACGCTGCTGGGAACTGTGAGGACGCTGCTGGCAACTGTGAGGACGCTACTGGGAACTGTGAGGAAGTGGACGCTGCTGGGAACTGTGAGGAAGTGGACGCTGCTGGGAACTGTGAGGAAGTGGACGCTGCTGGGACCTGTGAGGAAGTGGACGCTGCTGGGACCTGTGAGGAAGTGGACGCTGCTGGGACCTGTGAGGAAGTGGACGCTGCTGGGAACTGTGAGGAAGTGGACGCTGCTGGGACCTGTGAGGAAGTGGACGCTGCTGGGACCTGTGAGGAAGTGGACGCTGCTGGGAACTGTGAGGAAGTGGACGCTGCTGGGAACTGTGAGAACGCTGCTGGGACCTGTGAGGAAGTGGACGCTGCTGGGACCTGTGAGGAAGTGGACGCTGCTGGGAACTGTGAGGAAGTGGACGCTGCTGGGAACTGTGAGAACGCTGCTGGGAACTGTGAGGAAGTGGACGCTGCTGGGAACTGTGAGAACGCTGCTGGGAACTGTGAGGAAGTGGACGCTGCTGGGAACTGGGGCAACAATCACTTCAAGACGACCTAAATAGGGTTTTGAAATGGTCTAAAGACTGGCAGATGCAGTTTAATGCTAATAAATGTAAAGTTCTGAGGCTAGGTACTGATGATAGAGTTACAAGATACGAGCTAGATGGTGTTGAGATTGCGAAATCGAATTGTGAAAGGGATCTGGGAGTTATGATTAGTAAGAATTTAAAACCAAAGGATCAATGCATGAATGTTCGTAATAAGGCAAATAGGACACTGGGATTTATTAATCGAAGTGTTAGTAACAAGACACCTGGTGTTGTTCTTCAGCTATATCTTGCTCTGGTTAGGCCCCATTTAGATTATGCAGTTCAGTTTTGGTCGCCATACTATAGAATGGATATAAATTCACTAGAACACGTCCGGCGAAGGATGACAAAGGTAATCCCCCGAATTAGAGACCTGTCATCTGAAGACAGATTGACAAAACATAATTTACATTCCCTAGAAAAGGGAAGAGTTAGGGGTGACACATGTTTGAAGGTATATTAAAGCATTTCCAGAACTACGAGACACCCGTTGGATGACCTCAGAACACAGTGGCTCCTGAAGAGTGGGACAGAGTAGCACTCACTGGAACATGTTGGATGACCTCAGAACACGTTGGCTCCTGAAGAGTTGGACAGAGTAGCACTCACTGGAACATGTTGGATGACCTCAGAACACGTTGGCTCCTGAAGAGTTGGACAGAGTAGCACTCACTGGAACATGTTGGATGACCTCAGAACACGTTGGCTCCTGAAGAGTTGGACAGAGTAGCACTCACTGGAACATGTTGGATGACCTCAGAACACAGTGGCTCCTGAAGAGTGGGACAGAGTAGCACTCACTGGAACATGTTGGATGACCTCAGAACACATTGGCTCCTGAAGAGTTGGACAGAGTAGCACTCACTGGAACATGTTGGATGACCTCAGAACACGTTGGCTCCTGAAGAGTGGGACAGAGTAGCACTCACTGGAACATGTTGGATGACCTCAGAACACGTTGGCTCCTGAAGAGTGGGACAGAGTAGCACTCACTGGAACATGTTGGATGACCTCAGAACACATTGGCTCCTGAAGAGTTGGACAGAGTAGCACTCACTGGAACATGTTGGATGACCTCAGAACACATTGGCTGCTGAAGAGTTGGACAGAGTAGCACTCACTGGAACATGTTGGATGACCTCAGAACACATTGGCTGCTGAAGAGTGGGACAGAGTAGCACTCACTGGAACATGTTGGATGACCTCAGAACACATTGGCTGCTGAAGAGTGGGACAGAGTAGCACTCACTGGAACATGTTGGATGACCTCAGAACACAGTGGCTCCTGAAGAGCTGGACAGAGTAGCACTCACTGGAACATGGACGAATATGGACTTGAAGCGCCACTGGTCAGGTCAAAGGATATAAATTCTCTCATGCTAACAGAAAGTAAATGATTTAGTGTTGCTATCTAATGGCAGTTTGATCTGAAGTGTGTTACTATAAAAGATATGAAATCAGAGATAGAAACCATTGGATAGAAGTGAATTAGGAATTAAATTTTTTTTTAATTATATTAATATTTCTCTCAATCCCATGAAACACGCTGTCAAACCCTTGACACACAAAGCTGAACACTTGTCGCACACTGTCAAACCATGACACTGTGAAGCTCATGCCTCACACTGTCAGGTTCATGCCTCAGACCTGGGAAGCTGATGCGTCAGAGGGCCAAGCCCAGCAGGGGTGGTGGAGGAAGGTTATCACGCGATAAAGCAGGTCACAACCAACTGCTTCACACACACATAACTCGCTAGTCTTGGTGACCAAACTTTGGACGCGCCTCCAGCCTCACCAGTTATTGTGGTGTGACGCTCAGGTGGGAGGCCCAGCAGCCGGCCCCCGCACAGTATGGGACCAGGGGGCAGGATCCGGCCGCCTCCTCCACTCAGTATAGGACCAGGGGGCAGGATCCGGCCGCCTCCTCCACACAGTATAGGACCAGGGGGCAGGATCCGGCCGCCTCCTCCACTCAGTATAGGACCAGGGGGCAGGATCTGGCCGCCTCCTCCACACAGTATAGGACCAGGGGCAGGATCTGGCCGCCTCCTCCACACAGTATAGGACCAGGGGGCAGGATCCGGCCGCCTCCTCCACACAGTATAGGACCAGGGGGCAGGATCCGGCCGCCTCCTCCACACAGTATAGGACCAGGGGGCAGGATCCGGCCGCCTCCTCCACACAGTATAGGACCAGGGGGCAGGATCTGGCCCCCTCCTCCACACAGTATAGGACCAGGGGGCAGGATCTGGCCCCCTCCTCCACACAGTATAGGACCAGGGGGCAGGATCTGGCCCCCTCCTCCACACAGTATAGGACCAGGGGGCAGGATCCGGCCGCCTCCTCCACACAGTATAGGACCAGGGGGCAGGATCTGGCCCCCTCCTCCACACAGTATAGGACCAGGGGCAGGATCTGGCCGCCTCCTCCACACAGTATAGGACCAGGGGCTGGATCTGGCCGCCTCCTCCACACAGTATGGGACCAGGGGGCAGGATCTGGCCGCCTCCTCCACACAGTATAGGACCAGGGGGCAGGATCTGGCCCCCTCCTCCACACAGTATAGGACCAGGGGGCAGGATCCGGCCGCCTCCTCCACACAGTATAGGACCAGGGGGCAGGATCTGGCCCCCTCCTCCACACAGTATAGGACCAGGGGGCAGGATCTGGCCGCCTCCTCCACACAGTATAGGACCAGGGGCAGGATCTGGCCCCCTCCTCCACACAGTATAGAACCAGGGGGCAGGATCCGGCCGCCTCCTCCACACAGTATAGGACCAGGGGGCAGGATCTGGCCCCCTCCTCCACACAGTATGGGACCAGGGGGCAGGATCCGGCCGCCTCCTCCACACAGTATAGGACCAGGGGGCAGGATCTGGCCGCCTCCTCCACACAGTATGGGACCAGGGGGCAGGATCTGGCCCCCTCCTCCACACAGTATAGGACTAGGGGGCAGGATCCGGCCGCCTCCTCCACACAGTATAGGACCAGGGGCCGGATCTGGCCCCCTCCTCCACACAGTATAGGACCAGGGGGCAGGATCTGGCCGCCTCCTCCACACAGTATAGGACCAGGGGGCTGGATCTGGCCGCCTCCTCCACACAGTATGGGACCAGGGGGCAGGATCTGGCCGCCTCCTCCACACAGTATAGGACCAGGGGGCAGGATCTGGCCCCCTCCTCCACACAGTATGGGACCAGGGGGCAGGATCCGGCCGCCTCCTCCACACAGTATAGGACCAGGGGGCAGGATCTGGCCCCCTCCTCCACACAGTATAGGACCAGGGGGCAGGATCTGGCCGCCTCCTCCACACAGTATAGGACCAGGGGGCAGGATCTGGCCCCCTCCTCCACACAGTATAGAACCAGGGGGCAGGATCCGGCCGCCTCCTCCACACAGTATAGGACCAGGGGGCAGGATCTGGCCCCCTCCTCCACACAGTATGGAACCAGGGGGCAGGATCCGGCCGCCTCCTCCACACAGTATAGGACCAGGGGGCAGGATCTGGCCGCCTCCTCCACACAGTATAGGACCAGGGGCAGGATCTGGCCGCCTCCTCCACACAGTATAGGACTAGGGGGCTGGATCCGGCCGCCTCCTCCACACAGTATAGGACCAGGGGGCAGGATCTGGCCGCCTCCTCCACACAGTATAGGACCAGGGGCTGGATCCGGCCGCCTCCTCCACACAGTGTAGGACCAGGGGGCAGGATCCGGCCGCCTCCTCCACACAGTATAGGACCAGGGGGCAGGATCTGGCCGCCTCCTCCACACAGTATAGGACCAGGGGGCAGGATCTGGCCGCCTCCTCCACACAGTATGGGACCAGGGGGCAGGATCCGGCCGCCTCCTCCACTCAGTATAGGACCAGGGGGCAGGATCCGGCCGCCTCCTCCACACAGAATAGGACCAGGGGGCAGGATCTGGCCGCCTCCTCCACACAGTATGGGACCAGGGGGCAGGATCCGGCCGCCTCCTCCACACAGTATGGGACCAGGGGGCAGGATCCGGCCTTCTCTTCCACACAGTATGGGACCAGGGGGCAGGATCCGGCCGCCTCCTCCACACAGTATGGGACCAGGGGGCAGGATCCGGCCGCCTCCTCCACACAGTATGGGACCAGGGGGCAGGATCTGGCCCCCTCCTCCACACAGTATAGGACCAGGGGGCAGGATCCGGCCGCCTCCTCCACACAGTATGGGACCAGGGGGCAGGATCCGGCCGCCTCCTCCACACAGTATGGGACCAGGGGGCAGGATCTGGCCGCCTCCTCCACACAGTATGGGACCAGGGGCAGGATCTGGCCGCCTCCTCCACACAGTATAGGACTAGGGGGCTGGATCCGGCCGCCTCCTCCACACAGTATAGGACTAGGGGGCAGGATCCGGCCGCCTCCTCCACACAGTATAGGACCAGGGGGCCGGATCTGGCCCCCTCCTCCACACAGTATAGGACCAGGGGGCAGGATCTGGCCGCCTCCTCCACACAGTATAGGACCAGGGGGCTGGATCTGGCCGCCTCCTCCACACAGTATGGGACCAGGGGGCAGGATCCGGCCGCCTCCTCCACACAGTATAGGACCAGGGGGCAGGATCTGGCCGCCTCCTCCACACAGTATGGGACCAGGGGGCAGGATCCGGCCGCCTCCTCCACACAGTATAGGACCAGGGGGCAGGATCTGGCCCCCTCCTCCACACAGTATAGGACCAGGGGGCAGGATCTGGCCGCCTCCTCCACACAGTATAGGACCAGGGGGCAGGATCTGGCCCCCTCCTCCACACAGTATAGAACCAGGGGGCAGGATCCGGCCGCCTCCTCCACACAGTATAGGACCAGGGGGCAGGATCCGGCCGCCTCCTCCACACAGTATGGGACCAGGGGGCAGGATCCGGCCGCCTCCTCCACACAGTATAGGACCAGGGGGCAGGATCTGGCCGCCTCCTCCACACAGTATAGGACCAGGGGGCAGG